ATAGAGAGAGCCTTTATTAAGGACTTTCTCTTGCAATTTTCTAACCAATATTTTCTCACAAAGAAGTTATAATCTGTTGAAGCATGGGGCATGTAATCATTTATCATTTTTGATAGGATCCTTTTGCCCGTTTATAGGTCTGATATCTTTAATGTCATTCTAAGATGTCTAGCAGTTTTCAGAATAAGTTAAAACATTTATCTCCAAGAGATTTGGCTGTACGGTTGAACCAAATGCTACAAAAAATGTAGTTAATTTGTCCTCTTATTCTCCTTCTGAGATTGAGCTTGCTATCTTGGCCCATGGCCTAGACTTTAGCATTCCTTTTACTTCTATTGAGAGGGAAAAATTTTTTTCTGAATTTGAAGTATTTTATGCTCAACTCTCGAAGTTTCAACCTGTGTCTAATGATAAATCCAGCGACTTTTGAGCCAAATTGAATGATTTGGCTGAGTCTTATGCTAGTTCTCCTATTTCTTTCTCTGAATCGAAATAGAGAAGTGAACACCATAGGGTTATTAGATCCCTTAAGAATAACCATTCTTTAGTTATTATGAAACCGGATAAGGGATCTGGTGTTGTCCTCATGGACCGCCATGATTACATTAATAAAATGCTAAGTATACTTAATGACCCTTCCAAGTTTCAACGTCTTGGTTCCATTGACACTCATGACTCTACACTGACTTCTGAAATTTGATTTCAGAAACATCTTGTCAAATGGTCAAAAAGTGTTGTTGTTTCTTCTGAAATCGTGGAGGAATTGAGACCGTCTGGCTCTATTCATCCCTGTCTGTATGGATTACCCAAGATTTATAAGGAGGGTTTTCTGTTGAGACCCATATTATCAATGATTGGGTCTTCTCAGCATAAAATCACAAAGTGGCTGGCTTATAATGTTGCAACCAGTGTTGCAGCATTATAGTTCCTTTTGTATTAAAGATTCTTTTACTTTTTCCCATTTTATTTGGAATTGTGATGCCACTGATGGATTTATGTGTTCACATGTGTTCCTTTATCGGAGACTATTGATATTTGCAGTGATTTGTTACATCATAGTAATTTAACCCCCCTCCAACTATACCTGAAGATGTTTTTGTTGAACTCATGAAATTTGCCACCATGTCTGTCGATTTCAGTTTTGATAATATTATGTCAGATTGATGGTGTAGCGATGGGTTCCCCTTTGGGTCCTGTTTTGGCAAATGTTTTTGTGGGATTTTACAAGGAAAGCCTTCTTTTAGGTTCTTCCTGGCCCAAGATCTACTTTCGTTATGTGAATGACACTTTTTGTTTGTTTAACCATGAATCAGAAGTTGATCAATTTTTCTCTCTACTCAATGGTGTTCATCCTGCCCTTAAATTTACAGTAGATAAGGAGGTCAATGGTTCATTGCCCTTCTTAGATGTTCTGGTTCACAGAACACTTTCCTCATTTATTACATCAGTGTATACGAAGTCTGCATTTACAGGTCTCTATACTCGATGGGACTCCTTTTGTCCTAAACAACAAAAGATTAATTTGATTAGGACTTTGACCCATAGGGCGTTAATGATTTGTTCAGATAATACCTTGAAAGAGGAAATTAGTTGTTTAACTAGTATCCTTGTGAACAATGGTTATTCATTGGATATTGTTCAATTGGTTATTTGGGATAAGACTGCCAGGTTTAATAAAATTAAACTTGCTATTGTTGGTAAATGTCCGGTCTATCATCATTTACCATGGTTGGGTAGGATTAGTGAGTCCTTCGCCAAGTGGATTTCATTTCGTTCCCGTGAGTGTTATTATGCAGCCAACATTCGTGTCATTTTTCAAACCAAGTCTGTCCTTTCATCTGTGTGTAAAGACGTTCTACCCCCCCCACCATATTAATTCCGTTATTTATTATTTTAAATGTAGTTGTGGACTCGACTACATAGGTAGAACAACACAGCGTTTAGATGTTAGGATTAAACAGCACGTGCCTGCTAAAATACTCAACAAAAATTTTCGTTTGGTGATACCATTCGAAATACATACGGGTCTTCTATAGCGGATCACTTGATAAATAATCTGACCTGTGCTATGGATTTTAGTGTGAGCTGGTTCTCTGTTCTGGCCAGAGCACACTCGTTATTCCATCTGAAGGTGTTGGAGACGCTGTTCATCAGGTCCAGGCGACCCGCTCTTTGTAAACAAAGAGACTGTTTGCTTGGGCTTGCGGTGCTGTGTCTCTAGCATCTTTGGTGTTATAACTTTTATTATTATATTTTTCCCTGTCCATTCATTCACGTCATCCGCGACAGATTTTCTTCTCATAATTTGTTTCCCCATTTACAGTTCTGATGAGAGGGGACGAAACCGGTTGATTGTGTTTTTGTTTTAAAATTTATCATAGCCTATAGTAAAAATTTCTTGCCTTTAATGCCATAATATATATATATATATATATATACACTGTCATGACTGTTTTTTATGCTATTTTTAAAATTTATCTGGATAACCCTAGGTTATCGGCACCCAGCAGAAAAAATTTTTTGCATTTTTATTTTTTCACAAATATATATATGACCTAGAGAACTCAATCCAGCTGGAGAGTCTTGCATTATCAGCAGTAATAGTCATTGTTTACAAATTTGCTTTTCTCCCCACAGTGCTCAAATGAATTAATTATTTGTCAGGAGCTAAGCACCAACAGCTTAACGGTAGATTCTCTGACTGACGCCAATTCAGCCAGGTTGCTATCTTAGCTTGAGACAACTGGATATCTAGCCACACTAATGAGCTGTGATACAGTGAAACAGTCTGTCAATGGATGACATATATACAGATAGTAATCCGTTGGTATATAATCCAAGTGAATCCTATTAACACAATATAAAAACTGATCCACACATTGAGCTCAATGTTTTTTTCAATAAACAGAGCAATATATTTCATACAAAATATTTTCAATTTTTCTTCCTTTCTTTATTCCCCCTTTTTTTTTTTTTTTTATTTCAAAACTTTATCATCCATTGACTGTTTGAAAAATCGTATAAACTTCTTGTGTTTTTACAAGATGAAAATGATCATTTACAGAACGTTATCTTAATTCCTATTGTATGATTGAGATATATATATATCTTTCAATCCCAGTCTTAAAGCCTATCTCCTTTTATAACAGTCAGATATACCAAATCTGAAATGGAAATGACATCTTGGAATCCATCTGACTACAACAGGATAAGCATTTGTCATAAAGCCAATACTTATATTCCCACCACTGGCCTAATATTGCCAAAAAAAGAAATAATAATTGATATATTCATATCTGAATAAAATTTAATATATAAGAGTAAGACAATTTAGAAAAAAATTTAGTTGACATGTTTTCCCCAGTAATCCAGTATCAAAAGAATAATTTTATTTGAGAAAACAAAATCTGCCTTACTGAAACAATACTTTTTACATTAAATGCTTAATTTTTGTAAAAAAAAAAAAAAATTTGATTGCCTCATTATAGAATTTAGATTTTTAACTTTCTCACATTGTTTTATCTAAGAAAAAACAAAGATAACCTGTTTGATTATTGTGGGCTTATATTGGCAATGTTTAAATTAAGATATAGAATCCTGACAACATTTTGAAGAAATTTGACAAATGGAAAAATGTTTCAATGAAACTAGATATAATTATGTGTTTTCCCTTTTCTATATAAACAATGTGGACACAGAGTTCAACACTGAAGGGCAACAGTCTGTTTCCTGTTTGAACTTAATCTTCAGGTCATGATGAGTGGATAGTAGTTCAGCTATTTGTAAATGTTAGTCATTGGAGCATTAGGAGTATCAAGTTTCCAGTATATTCTATTATTGACTACATTAGAATAATATTATTTAAAGTCAAACTTAGTGTAATTACCAGTTAGTTTAGAATAATATGCCCAGTAAGTAATTCAGATTTTGTTGCTTTTCAGTAATTCATTTGAATTTCACCAAAATAAAATTATTCTTTTATGTACCATGTTCCTTCAGAGCATTGGCAATCATGGCTCTCCACAATTTTATGTCCTTTGTAGCTCTTGGTAAATTTTGTCTTTTTGCTCTCTCTCCTAAACCCTGTACTGCCATCCATTTACACAAGCTCACTAAGATTATGCGTTGTTTTCCTCGGTACCTCTTGCCTTAAATCTGCTTTGTTATTATCGAATTTTCCATGCCCTCTTTCCTCATTATGTGCCCTAGAAATTTCAACTTCCTCTTTCTGATGTTAATTATAACTGTACTTTGTCATTAGTCACATGTTCAGTCCATGGTATTCTCAGCATCCTCCTGTAGTACCACATTTCTACTGCCACAAGTCTCTTTTTCATCTGGGAGGAGATAGTCCAGTATTCACTGCCATATAAAAGAATTGATATTACATAATGGTTCAGTACTTTCTTTGTTTCTTACAGAATTTTCCTATTTCTTAATACTTTGCTTAGCTTTTTGAATGCTCATTTGCTATTTCAGTGCGCTTTTGAATTTCAGTGTCTTACTTTCTGTCTTCTGCTAAAATACTTCTCAGATATTTAAATTGTTATAATTGTTTGATTTTGGTATCTCCAATTTGTAATTTGCATGTTGAGCTTTCCCATTTGCTAATAACCATACATTTAGAATTTTTAAAAAAAAATCAGTATTTTAGTTTTAAAGGTAAAATTAAGAGTTATTTTTGGAATTTTTTTTTTTTTCAAGGGGGTTGGATTTGAGGGGAAGGGAAGTGTGAGAAGAGAAAATTTCAGTGTTGCAAATTACTAAAGAACAACTGAAAATAAAAGAAAAAAAGATTTTTAAAAAATGTCTGAAAGTGGGGGAAAAAAAAATGAAACAAAAATAAATAATAAAAGTAGAAAGACAGCATACACCTGAGTATATTGAATACCTGTGTAGATACAAGCTTGTATCTATTTTAACCAAGATGATTAACAATTGCCATTGATTCCCTTGTGTTGGAGTTTAGCCCAAGATCTATATTTGAAGAGCATCTCAACATGGTTGCTGTTTTACCTTTGTGTAGTCATCAAATCAAACATGTCCATTTTTTTCCCCTCATTTCTGTTTTAGTTTTTTTTTCCTACCTACTTCTTCATTCTTAGTCTGTCTGTCTCTCTGTATCTCTCCCTCTCTCTCACACACACACACACACAGTTTACTTTTCTCTTTTCCTCTCTTTCTTTCTCCCTGTCTTTGGTTTCTTCTTTTCTTACTGTCACTCTGCCACCTTTGCTACACTATCTTTTCCATTTATTTCTCTTTTCTCACTCCATTTACAGCTATATTTTTTTTTTTGACTTTTTTTTTTTTTTTTTTTTTTTTGTTTTTTCATTCGATTATTTTATTTCTTTCTGTAAATTTTTTTTCATCTAATTTATTCTCCTCCTTTTCTCTTCTTTTCATTCTACTCCTGGTATGCATTCTCATTCTTTCTTCTTTCTTTTTCCTCTTACTCATTCCATCCTTCTTTTCTCCCTTAATTTTCATTCTATTCTTCTACCTTCTGTTCCTCTTTCACCTCCTCCTCTTCATTCATGCTAACCAATTTTCCTCCTGTGCCTGTTACTATATTTTTTTATCTTATCAAAGCTTTTTTAAAAAATTTTTAGCTCATTTTATTTAGTTTTTCCTTATTCTCTTTCCTTAAATTTTCCTCCTCTTATTCATTTTCATCTTTTCTCTTTTCTTTTCCCTTTTTGTACTCCCTTTTATCTTTGTTGTACCTCACTTTTGCCTTTTTCTTTGTTGTACCTCACTTTTGCCTTTTTCTTTGTGATACTGCACTTTTGCCTTTTTCTTTGTGGTACTGCACTTTTGCCTTTTTCTTTGTGGTACTGCACTTTTGCCTTTTTCTTTGTGGTACTGCACCTTTGCCTTTTTCTTTCTTGTACCCCACCATTTACCTTTTTCTTTCTTGTACTCTTATTTTTTATTTCTTGTACTCCCTTTAATTTTTTTTTATTTCTCATACTCTCTTTTCATACTCCTTTTTCTTTTTTCCTTCTCTTCATCTTATCCATTTATATTCATTCTTCTGCCTCTTTAATTTTATTCCTATTTTCCCCTCTTATTTCTTTTAATCTTGTTATCTTTTTCCTCATCTTTCTAACTCAAAATGTTCCTTTTTCCTTTTTTGCCTTTTCTCTCTCTCTCCTTCAATAAATCATTTTGCCTTTTTCTTCTCCGCTCTTATTCTTACTTTCTTTTTCTACATTCCCTCTAATTCTTTTTTACAACCCTTTTTCCTGCTACTTTTACAAAAACTTCTTTCTTTTCTATTGTTTGCCTACGCCCTTTGTTTTCTTAGCAACTTTCAAAAGATTGAACCATTTCTATTTCATGTTGACTGCCAGAATTAGCATTTCACACTGGGTTTCCACCTGGCTACAAAGCTGGCATCAACTCCACAGCTTGGGGTGCTACTATTTTCTGCCAAATTTCCATGCCACTCCTACTCATTTCCAGACACTTGAGAGCTCTACTGAATTTCATAATTCACAAAATTCTTCATTTAGAGAGCTACTTTGGATTTTAGACATTTCTGATGTTAGAGGTGATTTTTGATTCTTTCTTTTCTGCTGATTCCTTTTTTTTTTTTTTTATCTAATTGTAAAATTTCTCGAACAAAAATGGTCATCTTTGAGATCTTTGAGGAGATGAAACAGGGTAGCATGAGAAAAGAATTAACCAATTTTTCCTGGTAATTTAAAAAAGAAAAATGCAAAAAATAGTATATAAGAATAAAATAAAACAATTTGTGCTTTTTATACTTAAAACAGAGAAAAACATGAAAAGAAGGATTGCTTAACATGTCTTAGTTTTTATTACAAATGGTCAACTAGATACCATATATACTTGTGTACAAGCCAACTTCATGTATAGTGCAACACCTGGATTTTGTTTTACATGTATTTTAACCCCTCTAGAAAATGTGTATAATGCAACTGGTCATTGAAAATACGTGATTTTTAACCTCTTCTGCAACACCCTATTTTTTCCGAAAAAAAACTGAAGCTGAGACAGGACCAATAATATTTCAGATTCTTCTTTGGATCAAATCAAGCAGCTCTAAGTAAATAACAGGGGCACCAGACCATATGTGGCATCAATATTCTAAGTATGGATGAATGGTAGACTTATAGATATGTTAGATAGGTTCCGGAGAGAAAAATTGTCTCACACTACACAGTGAACCGACTTTCTTAGCAGGTGACCTAGCAATAGATTCAATATAGTCTTTCCACTTCATGTCAGCTGAGAAAGTTAACCGGAGAAGGAACAACACATTATTTTCTTGAAGGTTAGCATTAGCAATGCTGATGGAAGGCAGAGAAGAGTCTCTCAGATGATTAATGGAGAGAAGTTTAGTTTTGGAGGTGTTAAAATTAACAAGCCATCTTTTGCCCCTGTTAACAACAGACTTGATGTTGTTTTGGACATCAGCTGCCATTTAAAATTTATTCTGTTACTTTTCTTATTAGATGTTGAAATCACAAAAATTTACCATATTTGATGACATAAAGTTCTGCTTTTTTTTTTTTTACTTTGTTGTTTTTCAATAATTAAAGATAAATATCTCACACATCTACACCTGGTCAACTAGTGTTTCCCAAATGCCAATGAGTAATATCTGTACTGAGCCTAACAACATAATATTGTAATATTAAATCTAATTAAGGAAAGTCTTTCTGAAACCTGTTCTTTTATTGTACTTTCTCCTCAATAAAGTCTTCTCATTCTCTTTCATTCCAAGTAACCCCTTGTGTATTAATGGCATTATCATCTTGCCTCAGGTGAAATGATTAACAAAAAAAAAAAATATTTCATAAAGTTTAAAGCTATTAACGTAAAGTTAAAAAATTGTGAAGTGCTCTCTTATCATTTCTAGCTTCCATGATTAACCTTAAATAACAAAATGTCGGTGAAGTGTATTTTTATCCAAATTAAATGAAATTCTAAGGCTTTTTTAAGATAATCCTTCAAGTTTACATTCTTCCCTATTTCCACTTGCTCTCCTGATAATGTCATATTGAAAAAGGCTTATCTATTATAATTCTACAGTAAATAGTCAAAAAACCTTTTTTTTTTTCCTTTTTGAATATTTGTAACTAAGGTAATCCAATCAATATAAATTTATGCGTTGACTAGTTTTAAACCTAAATTTGTGTATAACACTGAGTAACAAAAAAAAAAAATGACTACTGTTGAGACAATGCTGTCCTATACTGAATTGAGTATGTTGATTCTAAATTTATACTCAGAAATTTCCAAGCATGTCAGATTAAGATATAGAACAGCTGAAAATTCTGAACAAATCATAGAATAAAAATACCTCTTCTAAATATTATAGGGAGAATATTTTTGTTGCATTTCTATTGTAAGATTTGCAAAGAAATCTAGGAAGTATAATAACTGCCTGAATTTATGTCAAAATTACACCTTTAAATGCCGAATCTAGGTGCGTCGTCATTGTTGTTGCTCCCATGTGACTAAAAGTTTCGGGTCTAAATAAACAACGACAAACAGTCGAGATGGGAAGGCTATATGTTTGGAGTGGCCATAATGTTCATGGGAACACACAGTGATGGTATAGCCAGGCTTTGAAATGCCCTGGCAATCCGGATTTATCTATTTTCACCAGCCACGAGTGAAAATCAGTGTATATATCTTCGATAGCTGGTGTGTCCTTCGCATCTTAGATGAGTTACCATTATTTTATTTATATTTAGACTAATGTCCTCATATTAGTTATTGTTACCACAACATTTCAACTTCTGTATTCTCAAGCCTTGTTCGAGTAACCAAGAAATTTTAAACCAAACTCTTTCTTTAATCTATGAGGTTTGATTGTCCATTTTTAGGGATATCTTGTCTAGTTTTTATTTTAACAGGCTTATAGTGACATCACATCAAAACAACGGTTTCTGTACATTCACCAGAATTAAGCAACATTGTACCTGGTCAGTAACTAGATGGGTGACCACTTGGAAATACCAGGTGTTGTAAGCTTGGATGTGCATGTGGTATAATGGATAATGGCTTAAAATTGTTAATCAGTGAGCTGAGTTCCAATTCCCATTGGCTTTGTTATATTCACTTCCATGCAAATACCATTGGGAAAGGTAATGAATCCGTCTCTTCTCTCCCTAGCAATGGATTTATTAATAAGATTTGTATTACTAAAACTTTATTATCTCCAAAAAACAAGCATTCTTACAATCTAAAAATATTTTTTGGCTTTAAATAACCTGCAAAGGGTTGATAAGCCATAAAAAAAGAATAAATCAATCATTTTTTTTAATACTGCTCAGTTGTTGCTCACTCTGTTTCCACTGAGTGTAAGTCTGGATTACATGACCCAGGGATTGAACTCAAATTTACCATGCCACCAAATCCAAAAAACAAACCTTCAATCAACAGGGATAGTTACCTGGTGTATTAAAGCTTTAATTTGTGAACAGTCTCTATAGATTAAATAAAATGTACAGTCCAAAATTCCCTGGTGTTTACCCTGATCCTGATTAATACCATCCCTCTCCAGGATGGTTTTGATTTCAGCATTTTCCTAGACTGTCACTTCAAGGCAAGATTGTCCAGTGAGCCCTGCTATTTAACCTATAGTCAGCGTTTTGCAGAAGAGATGGATTTATTATCTATCTATATTTCTGAGATGAGGTATTATGTACATTATTTACATTATTCGGACTATTGTCTTTATCTTTGTCGCCATATTTATTACAATGTTTCAGCAGTTGTATGCTCTGACCTTCTTCAGGACACATGGCACAGTGGATAAAGGCGTTAGTTAGATCCAGTGTCAGGACCCAATACCTGGTTTAGGCAGTGGAGAACTTTCAAAGGGAAATTAACAGGAGATAACTGATAACTGACATCCATTAAAACATGGCATGTGGAATTAGAAAAGTCTACCCCAGTGAGCGAAATAAAGGGTTCAGTTCAAGATTCCAACCACCTAAAGAAGGCCAGAGCGTACAACGGGTGAAGCGTTGTAATAAATATGGCAACAAAGATGAGGACATTAGTCCGAATAATATAAATAGATGGATTTATATCTTTCTCAAGAGCATTTGTGTGAAAGTGAATGCAATGAACCGTGTCAGAAATTGAACTCAGCTTGCCAATTTTTCTTTTCAATTCATTGTTAGCCTCCCCCTCTACAGGTAGTTTATTTCAGAAGAAGGATTTATAAAAGACTAAATAGTCAAGATTCGGAAAGAATAGTAAATAGATGTGTCATGGTCAGAATGATTATTCCTTAAGAACTGTGCAAATCATTAGGATGTTACCAAGAAACCCATAGGATAGTTGTTTTGCAAACAGTGTGGCGTGCCTCATAGACGTGATGGAAGAGGATAGCAGGTGAGGCGGAATGATTGTAAGACAATCAAAGATGTAGAAACACTTTCAAAAAATTCCTATATCAAAAATAATTATTTCAAAATTTAAAATATTATGGATTACTTGTAATTGCATATATGAGTCCCAGTAGAAATAGTTATAAATAATTATTGACTGATTTTATCATTGTGATATTTTTGCATTATATCAAATATTAAGAATATAGTAACTAGGATCTGCAAATTGGAGGAGAGAGTTATCAATGATAATGTTCTGACTTTGAATCTGCAGTTATCTCCCTTTAACCTTCTATTTGTTGTTAATTTTTATATGTACATTTTATCACATAAAATTTTGTGAGGTGTCAGCAAATTTTAATTCTGAAAATGTGGCCCAGAGAGAGAAATGTTTGGGAACCACTAATATAGGAATATGCACATTTGTTTGTTTATTCCTGAAGACACCTTCCAGAACATAGGACTACAACTACACCAAGTAATACAACTGAAGTTTCAATAACATAGCTGGGTTCCTAACAGGTTCTGCCACCTTGGGTCAGGGTGGGTCTGGAAACAACAGCAATTAAGAGATGGTTCAACATTTCTCAAAAACTCCAATCTCCTAATCAGAGGCCTTGCTGCTGGATGTAGTTTATCATCATACCCAGGATAACCAAAGGCATTAGTGTAAAGTGATTGCAACTTGGTTTACTGATTTATTTTATATGTTAGTTTATTAGAAAAGGTATGTTCAGGTGAGAGTTACAGGAATTAAATTTGATTAATTACTCTATGGAAAATAATGACTGTGATAGCTTATGAGATGTAAGTATTCCAGGTGAGGAGAGTTTTAAACAGAATGAATCATTTTAATAGAAAAGACAAACTATATGACCAATATGGAGCCCAAATTGAAGATTTGTACATCATGCCTAGCAGATGCTCCCTTGATGACCTGCAGGAGGGACCCAACTGTTGTCTTGTGACTGTTGGTGAAACTTCTGTTGAGCTCCCTAGATTGCCTTCAGGAAGGACTCAGCTGTTATTAAGTTATGGATGGTCAGTGAAACAAAAAATAGCAGGTACTCACTTGATGGTCTACAAGATAAACCTGGTATTTTGTGACTGTTGGTCAAACTTTTGGCTTGTGCTCCCTTGATGGCCTACAGGAGGGATCCAGCTGTTGTCCTACAACTGTCAGACAGCCTAACAGAAAAGGGTAGCTATTCTCTTGGTGGCCTGCAAGAGGGACTCGGCTTGTGTCCTGTAACTATTGGTCATACTTCTAGTTTGTGCTCCCTAGATTGCCAACTGGAGGAAACCTGTCATTATCATGTGACTGTTGACTAGAAAATGAAAGAAAGAAGATAAATTAGTGATCAAGTGCTACTTTAAGAGTAAAACATTGTCTATAGCTTGAGGTTATAGATGACACTTGCTTAAATTATGGAGAGTCAAGACAAGTAGAAGCTTCAAGCCAATAGCTTGACAAGCATAAAAAACAAATTTTGAAAAGATACTGGATATCAAACCTTGATTTGCAGGAAATCTTATAGTAGAATCAATAATGAAGAAAGAGTCCTGTCAATGGGGAAACAGAACCACACATTCTATAAAGAACCTTATCAGAACCCAAGGAAAAAAAAGACTAAGATGCAAATCAAAGACAAGTTGCAGGAACAACCAAGCTAACTCATGAAGAAGACTAAAGTACAAAAATTAAAAAAGTTGATGCAAGAAAATATATTTCTACCATCCCTGAAGAGCAAAAGCTGTTGTGGATTGTAAAAGTGACAGCCAGACATATGAATATACTGTTACAACAGATGGAAATTTAAGATATAACAGAGGTAAGTGACCTCATCTATGCTGGGGTCAAAATGATGTCCAATATGCTTTTAATGCAGAAACAAGAAACTGCTTTGGGAAATAAAATCAGAAAGAATGAATACCGAAATCTAGAGATATAGGTCTACTGAAAGGCAGTACTAACAATAACAGTCGACAAGCCAAACTATGAGAAAAAGTATATACCAAAAGTGGGAAAAAGTTTGCAAAAAAGACCATCTGAAGAAGACTAAAGAGAGACAAAGAATTAACCAATGCATCTAAACACCATACTTTGCAAAACAATGAAAGGAAATTTTACAAACATAAAGAAAAGAGAAAAACATAAAACCAGACATCACAGATGCAAATAACCGTTGGGATGGAATATGGTAACCCAGCAGAAATACAATGAAACACCAGAATGGTTATTTGTTTTCCATCTAATTAAAGTTTGTTTTATTTTTAATTTTCTTGTTCTCTTTCTCTGTAGCTCTTCAAAAATTTCAATAAAGAGAAAAAATAGCAAATTCTGGGAATGACCATTCTCCAGAAGATGAAACAGAGTAGCAAGAGAAAAGAACTAATTTCAGGCAATCTTTATAAGAAAACAAAAAAATGGCCATCAAATATAGCCTTGTATTGTTCCTTAAATATTGACAAATAAGTTTTCATTTACCTCTTAGTAGTTTTGGCTAAAAACATGAAAGCAATAAATGTTCACAATATTTTTTCCTTTGTAGACATCATCATTTTCTTCAGGTGGTCAATCCTCCTTTCTTGCATTTTAGGTTCATTGCCATATCATGTTGAAACAGCGGTTCCCATATGATCACTGAAGTTAAGCAACATCAAGCCTGAGCAATACCTAGATCGGTAACCACTTGGGAATACCAGATGCTGTAAGCTTAATTGTGTGGGTGATGTAATGGATAACAGCTCAGAATTGTTAGTCAGAGAGTCTCATTTCCAGTTGGGTTTGTTTATATATACATATATATATGTATGTACGTATAGGCAGCAAATTCTCTTTTAGGCATGTCTGATATATACAAAATAAAATACAATACAACTAGTTTAATTATTCTCAATAACTCCTCACCAACTGCTGTATTATGTGAAAGCAACATTATATATTAATTCAAATATCCCTTGGGAAAATGTATCTCTGAGAGAAAAACAAATATCATATATATGTTGGATATATGACAACTACATTATCAAGATGTTTTACATTTATGGCTGACCATTTGTCCATTGTGAAACATTTACATGACAACATCTTTACAAGATATATTTCACAGTATGGGAAAATACTGATTTTTACACAATTATAATACAACCAAGAAAATAATAAATTTAAACTACAGATCATTGAAGCAGTCTTAAATTTAAAAAATTGAAGACAACCTGAACAGAATGGCCTACGAATGCTGTTAATTCTAAAATGCCTATATTTAGTTTTACAGTTTAAAACATTCAACTATGAAATTCAACATTAAAAAATTCCAAAATTGGATATCTTTTCCATGTAAAAATTGAACAGTAAAAACAATTAAGAGAAGTATTTAAATGCAAAAAAAAAAAAATAGTAATGGATAGCTATAGTTGACATACAACATGGACCCCAGATGATGATCTCAGAAAGAGACGGAAAGTACTTGGAAACAAAAGTGACTGTTACAGTGCATTTCTTGCCTTATTCATTTGTAATAGAGGGAAAAATATTTGGGATATGAAAGGATTATGATAAAATAAGCAAACAAAAATGTTTGTATTTTTATATATATATATATATATATATATAATTATTTATTTAAAAAATATGATTCCATTTTTTTATAAGAGATTTCATGTTTCAAAACAACCTTTTTAAAGTTTCAAATATAATTATTTGAATTAAATTGATTTTCAAAATTTTAATGGCATTTTTTTCCATCTTCAAACAAAATTTTTGAATAACGTATTTTGAAATTTACGTGTTTTAAAAATTGAAATAAAATTTCCATGGTAACAGCAAAAAATAATTGTTTAAATAGAAAGGCATCATCCTATTTATTGTGGTTTAATAAAACTATCATATCTATTTATATATATATATATATATATATATATGATCGAAATAAAAGTATAAAATTTAATATTACAAGACATATAAAAAAAGACGTTAAATAAAAAAACACTCAACAACAACGGGGGGAAGAATTAACGGTTTCCTCCAACTTAACAAAAAGGGTTTTCAATCTTATCTAAAAAAAATTAAAACTTATAAGTTGTACAGTAAAAATAAATTTCACAAAAAAAAAAAAAAAAAAAAAAATTAAACAAAACATGTTTTATTTTATATAAAATATATATATATATATATATAAAAAATATGAAAGATATATACACAGAATCCAACTTGAGGCAGATTGACTGTAAGAAAGTATTAAAACTCACATTGTTTGCACAAAGAAGGTTTTTGGATGATAATAAAAAATTTTCCAGAACCTTCAGATGATTTATTAGAGTGTGATGAAATTTTCTACGGTGAACCATTCGACAAAAATTTAAAACAGTCTTGCTATTTAAAAAGTGGAAAAATGGCGGAACATACCAGATTCTGGGATGATAAAAGTCCACTCGCAGGCACTTTTTGGTTCACTTTTTAGTTATAAAACGTGCATCTCATTTATTCAAGTGAGGAATAAATGAGTCGTTCTCCCTATGTAGTTGGCTCCACAACTACAGGAAACTTCATTTGTAAACAATAGAATTAATATGGTGGGGAAAGAAAAATTAAATATGTTTTTTGATAGAAACATAAATTTAGTTTGAAAAATAATCCAACTTCAGCAGTGAAAAGCAGCAACGAACTTTTTGATGAAATTTTTTTTTTTTTTTTTAAGTAACTTTGTAAAATCCATTTAAAATCTAAAATTTAAAGAAGGGCATTTTTGATAAAAGAGATTTGAGTTTCATAAAACAAATCATTTCGGATAACTGAATGGTTGTTGAAAAGAGGATAACCCAAATTACATAGGGTATCCTAAACTTTTAATACGGATTCATCTTTTCAGGAAAGGCTAAAAATGATTTTATCTTTAATGCTCTGTGGAACAAAAATTTGTAAATGTTGATTTCACTATTTAGCTTAGTGGGACAAAAAGGTCAATTTTTAATGTTGAAAGCAAAGTTGAACATTGGTGGGAATTCCATGCATTTTCTCCTTTTCCTAAATGTCGAAAAATAATAAAAATCCAAATGGAAAGCAGAACATCAATGTGAATTTATTTCTAAGGAATAATCCATGACTTGATTATTTATTAGACCTGATAAATTTATAATATGTGTAGTTATTTTGGATCGACAAGTTTATAGAAATTAAAATGTCTTCATTTTATTTATCAAACTTTTTTAGACTTGGTTCTTTTGAAACCTGTGATGGAACTCTTTTAGTTTTAGTGATATTTCAAAAATCACTTTTAAAGTGGGTAAAAAGTTTAGTGAAAGGAAAAACTATCAAATCCGTCCTTCAATTTATGATTGGATCCCCCTATATATATGGTACTATAAAAATCCAATGCAAGAAGGGTAGAAGGACCAAAACCTTGAATCTTTGTCCATCTAGGGTCAGCCCAAACAAAGATCTCAATGGATTTCCACAATTTTTTTGGAAATGTGTTGCAGTGCCTGGATGGTTTTTGGTGAAAGGATTCCTTTTCCTTTGTTCCATTAAAGTGAAGAAATTATCTTCTTCAATAAGTTTGATGTGCTCTTTTCGATGTTTCTTCCTTGTATACTTGTGTCCCTTTGATGGAAACCATCGATATTTGTTGAATATCTCTATCGCAGTTCATTAACTTACCAGAGTTTTCCTGAGTCAATTTTTAGAATTGATGAGATTTGCAACGTCCTCCGTTGAATTCAGTTTCAACAATACTATAAACCGACAGATGTGACATGGGTCGCTATGGGCTCTCCTTTGGGTCCTGTGTGTTTTATAATATATTTGTTGGCTTCCAGGAAAAAAAGATACGAAGGAATCCACTTTGTCCTCAACTGGGGGGGGGGTATGTGGATGACACCTTTTGTTTATTTAACGGTGAATTGAGGGCTGACCAGTTTCTTTCGTTTTAAATGGCATCCATCCGCACTAAGGTTCACTATTGAAAAAATTTCTAATCATCAATTGGCTTTTTTGGATGTATTAGTATGGAAGACGTCAACAGGTTTTCGAGAACTTCCATTTATAGAAAACCTATTTTTGCAGGGTTATACATGCGTTGGGACTCTTTTTGTCCCACTAAATAAATCAACATTATCAAAACCCTCCTCCACAGAGCATTAAAGATTTGCTCTGAGCAATTTCCTGAACGATGAAAAAAACTTTAAAGGATAGATTATGTAATTTGGGTTTATCCTCTTGATACTGTTAATTCAGTTATCCGGGACCAAAGTTGAGTTCAGAAGTGCCGATCTCTACACTGTCAAAAATGCCCTGTTTACCTTAGATTACCATGGATTGGTACAATATGAAAAAAATGGCCAAACAAATTTCATAAAGGTTCATTGCTGCTTTTTCTCTGCTGAAGTTTGGATTATTTTTCAAACTCGGCCTATGTTTCGCAAACTTAGCAATGGTCAAATAACGTTCTCCTCCCCACCATATTAATTCTATTGTTTACAAATACGTTTGTAGTTTGGAGCCAACTACATAGGGAGAACGACTTTCAGCGATTAATGGGGAGAATAAAGCAACACGTTTTACTAAAATTAGGAACCACACCTTGCTGGGCGAGTGGACTCATTTCTCGAACACCTACAGTTCAAGAGCCATATGCGAACACCTTTTAAATAGCAGAGACTGATGCCGCCAAATTTAGTGTGACTGGTTCACCGTAGGTTGTAAAGATTACTCTGTATTTCATCTGAAGGTTCTGGAGGCACTTTACATCGGGTAAGATTGCCTTCTTTGTGCAAACAACGTGAGTGTTTGCTGGGACTCGCATGTCATCTGCTTTCTAGTTCCTTTTTGCATATATATATAACATATATATATATATATATATGTGTGCAGAATTTTTTTTTTTTTTTTTTTTCCACCTATTCTTACTGTACATTTCTCTGTTTTAATTTTCAATCTCCGTGGAAGCCTTGACGAGCAGAGCAAAACCGTTGCTTTTTTTGTTGTTTTATTTTTTTTTTTATTATTTAATACTTTTTAATATGTCTTGTAATATTAAATTTTATACTTTTATTTCGATCATTAAATTTTGTACCTACAAAAATATCTTTAAATATATATATATATATATATATACACACACACACACACACACACATATACCCATGGACAAAATTATGGGGCAGGTGTAGGAAAGTTAGAAATATGATTGAAACTCTTTCCTATATTAACTGAAAACACTATAATAGGCATTCTTGAATTGATGTTTCCCTGTTATTTATGGTAGGGGTGGGGACCAATAATGATTTGTTTTCCTTTTTACTTATTTAGCATAAATAGCAAAATCATTTATTTGAAATTTAATCTGTAGTACTAAATCTTTACTAAGTTTTTACCTTTAGTATTAATTTATAAGTGCTGCTGCTTTGTTGAAAATGTCTCTGAAGAAAAACATTCCTGAAACTAAAAGGAATGAAATCATTGCATTGTTCAAAGAAGGGTTATTCTAAGTCAAAATTGCAAGAAAAGTGAAAATGCTCAAGAAATGGTCTACAAACCACCATCAAAAGATATAACAAAACCAATTCTTTCAAAAATCATGATGGTCAAGGTGGAAAAAGTTGTACAAACTCAAGGGAAGACAGACTCCTAAACAGGGTATCTCTAGATGATAGGGGAAAAAAACTCTTCTAACCTGACTGCTGAACTTCAAGAGGTAACAGTGATATTGACTCACA